AGCCAGGTACCTCCTCCTCTGGTTTCCAAGTGGTGCCCAAGGAAGGGCCTATCGCACCACTCATCAGTATGATATGGAGGAACACATTGAACTCTTGCTGTGCAGTAGGCACTGTTCTAAGATCATCTTGCTTGGTTCTCACTGCAGTCCTGGAACTGACTAGCCTGTCACTCTACCAGTGTCATGAGATTGACTGAAACAAAACTCAAAACACGTCTGAGTTAGAGATGGATGTGCTGGCTCCTCAAAGAGGAAATGTCCAGTTTCTCCTGCAGACGTGGCTAGACCCACAATTTCTTCCCTTCCCCCTATTCCTCTTAGGGGGCTTCACTTTGCAAGCAAGTTCTCTGGACCAGGAGGAAGCTGACTGTCAGCAGTAGCTGCATCTCAGCTTAACAACCAGAATGGGAAATTCCCACATTCCCACCAACTCAGCAGATGGGGAAGTTCATTCAGTTGCAGCCTGTTGGAAATGATTGGCAGTCTATCAGGTGGTCTCCCTGAAAGAACCAGAGGCATGGAAAGTCACCCCATATCTCAGAGGAATCCTAATGTCACCTCAGTTCATCAGTGGGGTACCAGGTTCACCCCACCTCTCAATGGAGTAGTAGAGTCACTTCATTTTATCAGTGGGGTACTAGTGCTACACCATCTCTCAGTGGGGCACTAGTGTTACTGCATCTCATTAGTAGGGTACCCCATTAGTAGGGGCACCTCATCTCTCAGTGATAGTGTCATCCCATCTCTCAGTGGGGTACTAGTGTCACCCCATTTCATCAGTGTGGGTAATAATATTGCCCGATCTTTTCAGTGGAGCAAGAGGGATGGGGTGAGCCAAGTTCACAGGTAGTGCAGCCAAAGAGGATCTTGGGAGATTGGTCTGACCCACAGGCCTACTCCCAGGCCAGCCCATTATACTAGTTCACCAGGAGTTCTGGGTGGATAAGAGCCTAGGACCCCAGTGGCAAATAAAAGCAGTGTTTTAGTCTCCTTTCTGTTGCTGTGATAAAAACACTCTGACCAAAAGCAGCTTGGGGAGGAAAGGGTCTATCGGCTTACTCTTCCAGGCCACAGTCCCTCATGGAGGAGGTCCAGGCAGGAACTCAATCAGGATCTCAGAATAGAAACCACAGAGGAACACTGGCTTGCTCCAGGTCCAAGATTATCCAGCTCTCTTACACAGCTCAAGACTACCCATTCAGGGAATGGAGCTGCCCACTTTGGGTTGAACACTCTTTTTTTATTTTTAATATTTTTTTTAATTTTTATTTTATGTGTATGTGTGTATTGCCTGCAAGTAGGTAAGTGCACCCATGCAATGCCCACAGAGGCCAGAAGAGGCTGTCGGATCCGATTTACTAATGGTTGTTAGCTACCATGTAGGTGCTGGGAACTGAACTCAGGTTCTTTGTAAGAGCTGCCAGTGCTCTTAACCTCTGAGCGGATCCCCTGGAACTGGAGTTATGGACAGTTGTTAGCTGCCATGTGGGTGCTGGGATTTGAACCCGGATCTTCTGCAAGAACAACCAGTGAGCCATCTTAACTGCTGAGCCATCTCTCCAGCTCCTGGGTTGAACACTCTTATATCAATTGACAATCAAGGCAATCCCCCACAGACATGCCCACAGGCCAATATGATCTGGGTCTTACTTGACACTCCCTTCTCAAGTGAAGCTAGGCTGTGTGAAGTAGACAGTTAAAGCTAACTAGGACAGACAAGTTCTGTGACAGTCAGAAATCACTACTTGGACAAAGGTCTCTCTTCATGACTCGTGACCCACTGAAAGTGTGATATGTGTCTTGCCCTCCCCTCCTACTCTTCCAACAATGTCAGCTATGAGTCTTTCCCTCTTTCAATAATGCAGGGCATGTGTCTTCCCACAGGGACCAGACGGACCATAAAGAACACAGGCAGCATCACAACCGGATGGCAACATGTCTCCAAGGACAAACTGACTGCTGCTTCATAGGCTACACAAGTAAGAAGCCTCCTAGTAACTACACCTGTGGGCCGGCGCGATGACTCAGCAGGTAAAGGCACTTGCTGCCAAGCCTGATGACCCAAGTTTGGTCTCCAGGACCCACACGGTAGAAGGAGAGAACCAACTCCCAGAAGTTATCCTCTGACCTCCACACACTGTGGCACACATGCCCCACACATACACACAATAAATAAATGTTAAAAAGAAATGTAATTCAGTGTCATCCTCAGTTACATACCAAGTTCAAGGCCAGTCTGGGATACATGAGATCTAGTCTCAAGAGACAGAGACAGAGGCAGAGAGAGAAAGAGAGTTGTGTATGAGTGTGTGTGTGTATTTGTGTGTGTATGTGTGTGTGTGTGTGATTTTTGTGGCTTTTACAACCACATTGTTCCAGGATTTAAGGATTAAGTGAAATTGTTCTGGTATACTTACTTCTATCTTAAGAACTTTATAGCATATGTGTAGGTGATTTCTGAAGTGGATTGCTCAGGTTTACAAGCTGATAAGATAAAAATAGGTCAAAAAAAGTCAAAGGAATTCTTCATATATAAAAACAGGTTAAAAAAAGTCAAAGGAATTCTTCATATATAAAAACAGGTCAAAAAAAGTCAAAGGAATTCTTCATATATAAAAACAGGTTAAAAAAAGTCAAAGGAATTCTTCATATATATAGGTCACAAGGAAGTTCAGGCATTCCTAGTGATTGTAAACATGGTTCATGGTTCACGATCAAGTTCAAAGTTCACATACGTTTTGACCTTAAGCATGTAATTTTTTTTTTTGGTCTTTTTGAAGCAGGGTCTCCCTGTAGCCCCAGCTGGTCTTGAACATGCTATGGAGACCAGGCTGGCCTTGAACTCACAGAGATCTGCCTGCCTCTGCCTCCCGAATGCTGGGATTACAGGTGTGAGCCACCAGGACCTGGTGAGAATGTGATCTTTATGCAGCAATCTTCACAATGTTTTTTGTTGTTGTTGTATCAATATTCTTGACTCTCTTGGCCCTTAGGGGTGAGAAATTCCTTTCTGTCCTTTCTCTTCCCTGGGTTCCCTTAAATTTTCCTGTCTTCGTCGTTGTCGCCCTCATTGTCGGGTGTGTGTGTGTGTGTGTGTGTGTGTGTGTGATATGTGACTGTGGGTTGTTGGTGAACACATACCACCATGTGTATATGGAGGTCAGTGAACAAATTTGTGGAGTGGGTTCTCTCCTTCCACTTTTCCATTCCGGGGATCTAACTGAGGTTGCCAAGCTTGCAGGACAACCACTTTACCAGCTGAGCGGTCTCACCAGGCCTTCCCCGTCTTTTTGCCTCAGGATGGAGGGGATGGACCACGCCTGCCCTGTTGAGCACACCATCACCCTTTTCCTCAATTGTAATTACAGTTGACCCTCAAAAACTTTAGAAATAGTACCACATCAAGTAGATCCACAGACCCGTCCCCACACTGAAGGTTCTTATCCAGGAGGAATGTGCAATCGGAGAGTGGGGGTGTTTGGCACCAGCTTGGAGGGGGGCAGCGCCTCTTCAGGGCTGGATATGGTGGAGGGGGAGGGAGACCTAATGGAGGAAGATGTGGGGAGGAAATGAGGCAAACCTTACCCACAGGACACTGGCGCTGGCACTGGTAGGTGTCAGCTTCGTCTGTATGTGGCTGGGAGCTTGTGGTCCTGGATGCAGAGATGCTGGGCTGCAAAGCACAGAGGTGTCTGCGCCAGGCCTGGTTTTCCCATTCTCTCCCCTGCCTCCCTCCTCCCCATCCTCAGCCCCATCCAAGCCCTCACTCTGAGAAGCTGCTGACTCAGTCTTTGCAGGCCGGGCATCTAGCGACATTGGATGGGCCTGACAGCTCCAGCTGGCGTTCTGCCCCTCCTACTTGATCTTGGCCAATTATCAGTTAATGATAGTAAGTCGGTTTGTGTGGAGTGAACATTGGTGGCATCACTAGATCTTCCCACTAGGCTCCCTGTACAGGCATTAAGTTTGATTTTCACAGTAAGGGAGATGCTGTTTGTACACCCATTTTATAGATAAGGAAACTCAAGCTTAGAGAAACAGTGTGGTCCTGCCAAGGTTGGAAAGAGAGCTAATAAATGGCAGAACTAGAATTCAAGCCAGAGCCTACGGTACTCCAAAGCTCTGGCTTGCTTTTCTATAATCTCAGGATGTTGAGCAGAGGTTGTTAGCTGTGGCCTGCCAGCCTTAGTGAAGGGAACAGCCAACGTTTGTACATTCAGAAAGAGGAACAGCCAAGGTGCAAATCCATTTCCTTTACCACCAACCCAACGTCCATTTTCATTGTTGTTATTTTGAGACAGGGTCTCCTTGTAGCCCGAGCTGGTCTGGAACTTGCTATGTAGACCAGGCTGGGCTCAAACTCAGAGACCCACTTGTGTCTGCTTCCTGAGTGCTGGGATTAAAGGCCTGTGCCATTATGCCCTGCCCAATGTCCATTTTGAAGAGAATAAGGGGGGGGGGGCCGCCCGCGGCGGGCGGGCACTATTTCCTTCCAGCTGGGATGTTTTGAAACTCTCGGTTGGGACCAGGGAGGAACTGAAGGCAAACCACTGAAAATAAAGAAGCTTCCAGACTTGCGGCTGCCCTGCCACACCCTATGACTTCATATGTTGTCATGGTGGCCCCGGCCCTGCCCTTTCAACTTCATCATTTCTCTGTGAAAGGAGACAGTGACTCTCGCCTCTCTGAGCGTGGACCTCAGATCTCACACAGAGCCACCCAGAATCCACGTGCCCACGGCCACCCACTGTGGAGTCACCCACTCTGTGACCCACTCTTGCTGCCCCAGGCCCTCACCCCCCTACCCATCTGTATTGGCAATGAGTGAAATCCTTAAGGGATAGTGTGATGCACACGTGGGCACCACACACCTGTCCACACTGGGACTCCCTAAGCGCAGTTTTATACTCTACACCCTCCTCTGCAAAGTGCTGCCCAGCATCCATCCAACCTGGGAGCCTCCAAGTCCCGGGTGTCATGCAGGGACACACCCCAGGGGAGGAGCCACCTCTCCTGCCGGCAGCCAGCACCGTTTTCCTCTCATCTGTAGCTGCCAGCCCTCCTGAGGACCGACATGGCCCAGGAGCGCCCCTCCTGTGCCCTGGAGCCCGAGCATGTCCAGCGCCTGCTGCTGTCCTCTTTCGAGGCCAAGAAGTCAGCCTACTGCCCCTACAGCCGCTTCCGGGTAGGGGCTGCCCTGCTCACCAGGGACGGGAGGATCTTCTCCGGTAAGGGCGTGCGTGAGCCGGGGTCCCCTCCCTGGATGGGGCCCAGACATAGGTGGAGAGGAGAGCGCGCTTTCCCTCCTCGCTGGACCTCCCCTGCAGCCTGTCCAGGCTGTGGCGCGACGGTGTAGACATGCCCAGGAAACCCAAGTGCCCTTCTTCCCAGCACTCTCAATTCTTGGAAGCCTGGGGTAGGAAAGGAAGTTTACACAGGAGGCAGGAGAGAGAGGTCAAAAGCAAAACCATCAGCGACCCTGGGGCCGCTGGCCTAGAAAGGGTTAATGATCTCCGTGCCTGGCGTTCACTGACTTGTTCCATCAGTAAGTCGTTGCTTCTGACCTAGGCATTTCAGATGAAGAAGTTGAGACCAGAAATGAACCCTAAGTCAGGTAGCACTGGTAATGGGACCTAGGACTGGGGTTCCCAAAGCCTTGTCCTGTTCCTGCACCCTGGGGTGCTGGGGATGGCTGGAGAGGAATGGGCACCTAACAGTGTCTTGGAGGAGAGGAGACAGGCCAAGTCTGGGTGGCCAGTAATGAGTGGCACTGAGTTGACCCTGCTCTGTCCTAGGCTCAAGTTTTTTAGCTCCTGGTTTTGTAGAGAAGTTCTTGTGGGCTGTGGTGGGCTGCAGCTCAGTGGTATTTCTTCACATGGGCAAGGGTTTGTGTTTGAACACAAGGAAAGGAGGAAGTAAGAAAAAGGAAGGAAGGGAAAGGGAGGAGAGGAGGGAGAGAGAGGAAAAGAGGAAGAGTTTTCTTTCCCTGTAGCCACAGCTAGCCTTGAACTCCATACAGAAACCTCCCTCTCATCTACATGTTTCTGCCTCCCCAGTGCTGGGATTAGACATGGTCCACCACACCTAAGTAGAGGAAGATTTTACTAAGCTCAGGTGCATTCTCATTTGGAAAGTGGTGTGGACAGGAGACAACTATAGTGTCTCTTTGTGTGTCCTGATGACTGAGGTTCTGTGGGTTTCATGAATCACCTGGATCCCAAGCATCGTTAAGCCAAAGTAAGGATTCAAGAGCTGGTTTGAGCTGGACTGAGGGCTGGCTTGCAAAAGGACCATGACAAATGTCATGGATTTAATCTTAACACTCAGCAGAGACAGAAATAGAGGCTCAGAGAAGGTTAACACCCCACATCCTAGAGTTAGGCTTGTCACCCAGAGATCCCCAACCTCAAAGTCATCTGTTCTGGCTGGATGGAGGGTAGGGGGTAGAGGGTATGTCTCTGAAGGTCCAACTGAAATTCAGCCTGGCCTAGCCATTCGGGTGACTGTTGAACACTAACCAGCACCACAAACAATACTGTGGCAGAGCCTCGAATATGCAGTCAGCCACTGGCTCTTTCTAAAGCTTCTGCATGTCTTACAGATGGTACAGCAAGCCTCGGCGTGTCCTCAGCACCCGAGCCAACCCATCTTCCTGGACTTATCATGTAGTACCTTCCCTATCCAGCCACCGGCCTCCCCTCCACTGAACTTCATGCTACAGAGGGCACAGCTGGAACTTTGTATCATTGTGTATCATTGACCATCACATAGTCCCTGCCTGGTCCAGAATCACCACTCAGCCATTGATAGCTGGCTGGCCAGAGGAGTGAAGAGGGCTGAGTTTGGAGAAGCAGAGGGAGAAGCATCAGGGACAGTAGGGAGCACAGACCATAGCACTTTTTGGACTGCGGTCCACTATGGCTTCCTTCCGGAAATATTGCTTTTCCAGCTGTGAGACTGGTGTCCCATTAAGAGAACTGCCCACCTAGCCAGAGGTCCGACAGGCCAGAGTATACTGGTCTCTTTTTTAAAGATTTCTTTTTTACTTATTTTATGTGTATGAGTGTTTTGCCTGCATATATGTATGTGTACCACATGTATACATGTTTTGCCTGCATATGTGTATGTGTACCATAGATGCACTCCTGGGCCAGTCTCTGTTGCCCTGATGGGGTGATATGATTGGGACAGCTGATTCACATACCTCTGCCCCATGAGGAGTGGGTGAAGGAATGTGGGGTGTCCATAGCCATTGTACCCTTGCTTGAGATCTCATTCCAAGAGCCCCTACTCTTTGGGCAGACCTGTGTACTGCAGAGTGGACATATGGAAGAGTTACCATTGAACTAAGAGGTCCTTGTGTCTACTGAGATGGAAATCACAAATATGCAAGGAAGCAACACCCAAGCTCAGCTGTCATTCCTCAAACATGATCCACCTTGTTTTCTGAGGTAGAGTTTCTCACTGGCCTGGAGCTTGCCGATTAGTTTAGGCTGTCTGGCCAATGAGCCCCAAGGGCAGTGCTGGGCTCTTGAGTGTCCAAAGTTTATGGTTTGGATAGACTGACTCAGAGACTTAGAGCTCTGAGTCCTGAGAACTAGAGACTTACAGCTTCCAAGATCTAGAAACTAGAGACTTACAGCCACAGATGCTGAAGTTGGAGGCTTATGTAAGTTCAGGGCTTTGATTGCCAGTGGCCTTGGCTAGTAACCAGCAGTTAGCAAGATCCTCAGCTTGCAACAGCCACCACTGCAGTCACAAGGTCAGGGCTAGCTGCCATTATAGCTCCTGAGGCTTGAGTGTCGGCACCCTTGGCCTTTAAGGCAGGGCAGCTTCCTGGAACTCTTCTAGAGAGCAGGACAGGCAGGAGCTCATCTTGGGCTTTGCACCAGCCTCTGCCTTCTCTACACCTGTCTTTTTTGTCTGTGCCTTGGGTACTCTCTGCACCTCTCTAGCTGCCCTCTCACCACCACGGTGCTGCCATCACCATTTTTGCTGTCTCTTCTTTACTTACAAGCTCATCTTGCTCTACCCACAATAAAGATAGTCAGGAACCTCTATCTGCCATAAAGATTACACATAGGCAAGAAAAGCCCACTTGAGAGAAGCCTTTTGCGACTGGAGACATGGTTCAGCAGTTAAGAGGGCACATTGCTCTTGCAAAGGACCCAAGTTGGGTTCCCAGCACCAATGAGGGGTGGCTCACATCTGTCTGTAACTCTAGCTCCAGGGGATCTGATGCCCTCTTTTGGCATCCACTGGCAACTGCAGTCATGTGCACATACCCACATGGAGACACACAGGAATACACATATTAAGGGTAAAAACAAATCTGGGACTGAAGAGATGGCTCAGCAATTAAGAGCATTGGCTGCTCTTGCAGAGGACCCAGGTTCAGTTTCCAGGACCCACGTGATGGCTAACAACTGTCAGTGGGGATCCAACACCCTCTTCTGACCTCCATAGGCATCGCATGACATGGGTGCACTTACACACATGTATGCAAAACACTCATACACATAAAATAAATAAAAAATAAATAATTTTTTAAATCTAAAAGAAAAGAACGAAAAGAGAAGTGCTTTATTGATACAGCCAGGAGAAGGTGGGTGTGGCATACAAATGTGTCTAAAACCCAGACCAATCACAATCAAACTTCAGGTTTTATGAAAACCTGTCAGCCTTCTCACCTGTCAATTACAAGTCTTTCTCTGAGTCACTAAGGGAGTGTTCTTCCTCCTTTGGACCTGATGAAAGACAGTCTCTACAAGGCCCAGAGCAGCAGAGGTGGATCTCACCAGAGTAGCTGCAGGTGGGGCCAAGTCGCAGGTGTCTCCAGCCTTTAGACATTACAATAAAGTGTTGCCATCTATAACTGCATAATAGAGGTACCAAAAAAGAAAAAAATCACATACACAAAAATCTCATAGTCTTTTTAAAGGTTACAATTTTGTATTCGGCCACATCCATAGCTATCTTTGGCTGCATGCTGCCCACTGGCCACAGGTTGGATGTGTCTGAAAGTTCACTGAAGTATGTCTTCCCTAAAGTAAAGGCTTCTGGCACAGGTACAGGCTGTAACCAGAATATGACCCCCTGAAGCAAGAGTCAAGCCTTCAACAGGCATGGTTGGAAAGTCTTTTGTAGATAGAGTGCAGGTCTCCCTGAACAGTTCCTCAATCAAGGCTGTCAGGAAGAAGGGAAGGATCTGTTGAATGGCCCACCTTCCTGGCGGCTTCTGTTCTAGTTAGCTTTCTATTGCTGTGATTAAAAACACTAACCAAAGCTGGGCGTGGTGGTGCGTGCCTTTAATCCCAGCACTCGGGAGGCAGAGGCAGGCGGATCTCTGTGAGTTCAAGGCCAGCCTGGTCTACATAGTAAGTTCCAGGACAGCTGGGGCTACAGGGAGACCCTGTCTCAAAAAAACCAAAAAAAAAAAAAAAACCCACTAACCAAAACCAACTTGAGGAGTAAAGGGTTTATTTAGCTTATAGCACAGTCCATCTGTTGTGAGGTACTTTACCAGAGAAGACCACTCAGACAAAATTTTGCTGAAGGAACGTCGTTACTGGCCAGGGCTACTACACAAGGGTGTCGGGAACTCAAGTGTATAGCACTGAGCCATCTCTAGGGTAAGCTTTTATACAGAGAAAGCATAACCAGGGGTGAAAAGTTTAAGTTGCCAAGCTTACAGGTGGAGAGTCACCTTAACAATTTCTATTCTATTAAGAAACAATTAGTATTTTGTAGAAGCAAGCCAAGCATAACCTACAGAAGCCATAAATCTGCAGTTAGCATATGCACTCTGGAACACTCTGACCTGTTCCCAAGATAACCGCTGTCCAGCTGACATGTGTTCCCATACCCTGGGCCAACTGCCTGAAAATTTCAGAGACTAGAGTCAGCCTAAACTTTAACATGGTATAGCTATGGGCAAGAAGGTGCCCTATTACACATCATCAAGGGAAGCTAAGGCAGGAACTGGGGCAGGAACCTGAAGCACAGGCCATGGAGGAACACTGCTTACTGGCTTGCTCTCCTGCCCCTGCTCAGCCTGCTCTCTTATCCAACACAGGCCCACCTGCCCAGGGGTGGCACCACCCACAGTGGGCTGGGCCCTCCCACATCACTCAACAACCAAGAAAATGCCCCACAGGCATGGCCACAGGACAATCTAATGGAGGAAATTCCTCAGATGAGATTCCCTCTTCCCAGATGTGTCAAGTTA